GGGTGGAGCATCCCACACCTCCGCTTCCAGCCTCCGAGGCCCGGACTCCACCTCGGCTCCTAGCTCCCTCACCTCCACCGTCACCCGTCGAAGTGGCTCCACCTCGGCTCCTCGCTCCCTCACCTCCACCGTCCCCCGTCGAACCACCAGCTCCACCGGGCTCCCTCGTCCCTCCGGCTCCGCCTTGGTCGGGTGTCGACCCGCCATCGCCTCAGGACTCCGCTCCTCCGACTGCACCTCGTCGCTCCATCCCACCAGCTCCATTGGGCTCCTTCCTCCCGCCAGCTCCACCTTGGTCCTCAGTCGCTCCAGCTCCACCGCGGATCTTCGGATCTCCGGATCTCCGCCTCGGTTGCCAGAGCCCTTGGCTCCACCCTGGCCCAACGGATCCTCGGCATCCCCCTGGCTCGTTGGCTCTCCGTCTCCGCCTCGGGCTCCTCCGCCACCTGCTCCGTCGCCGTTGGTCGGCCCCCTGGAGTCAGCGGCCATTCCTCCTCCATGGCTCCTCCCTCCATCGGCTCCACCGTGGGTCGCCATCATGGCTGTGGCCTGGGTCCTGCTTGGCTCCTCCTGCTCCAAGTTCCTCCTGTTTCCTCCCTGGCTCCTCCTTCCATAGTGACCTCCCTGGTCTCTGTCTGCCCGACCCCCTCCTGGGTGTCCGTCCTCCTCCTGAGCCGCTTCCCGAGTTCCCACCCGTGCCCCCACGCATGTTGTTCTACGGCGCGAGGACGCACCTTCCCGGGAAGAGGGGGGATATGTCAGGATCATGGACCTGTTTTGTTATGTTTTGCCCCTGTTTCTGTTCCTGTGTTCCCTTATTTGGTCATGTTCCTGTCCTCGTTTAGTTAATTAGTTTGAACTATGGTTTCGGGAAACACCGAATCGTTGAACTATGTTGGTAACGACGGAACTTGCGACCATACTGTAGTTGGCTAACGATGCTTTTGGGAAACGCACCCCAGTGCAATAATATAAGTGCTGCAGCGTAATTTGCCAAATGTTCCGCCCACTCCTCCCCCTCAAATAAGCGGTTGCTTATTTATCTTGCGAGAGTTGGCAACAGTGATCATATGGCACATCACATTCTAAAATTCCAAAAATAACCATAGCGTATCATTATTCGTTATTCGTAATTTTTAATTGAAATTCAAAAGAGCCATTACAAATGACAATGCATTACAAATGCATACAAATTACTTATTTTAAGGTCAAGTTTATACCAACTAACTTTTTTTATTTTTAAATTTTTTGTATGTTAGTGATAGTTAATACCAAAACTGCCACAGCTATACTGTTAAACCAATATTCTTGGTAGGAAAAAAAATTTTTTTTTGAAAGCCGAGAATACTTCAAAAATGGCAATTAGCATACAGCAAGCTGAGCATCACTGCGTTTCAGGTGTGTTGTGTGTTGTGCGCAGTGCAGTTGTGAGAGGCAGTGGAGCTCCACGTCTTTCAGCCCAGCTTGATTACGATTAAGTGAAGTCAGGTGTACACTCTAATTACTGCTTACACTGGGAGTGTTTGTGCAAAAGTGTACTGAGGCAGCCTAAGACACAGCAGAGGTAACCAAGACAATGGCACTTTGAGCAATTTGCAGCATTTGGTGACAGAACCCCAGAAAGTTACATTGTTAGTGCATAGCATGATAGAGAATTGGCAGAAGAGTCAGAATTTCAATTTTGTGCTTGAGGGAGTAGAAATGGCAGGAAGGAGAAGTAATATATATATACACGTTGAAAATATGCATTTACACAGACCTTTTAATGTATATATCAATGCACAGAGACCCCAGGGAAACAATGCATCACATGCTCGAATAGTGATTTTTGTGCATAGTCACCAGAAAACAGCACAAGCACCAATTTTCATGACATAGAGCTAGATATGATATGAGACTGACATGTATTTTAAAAAAATAAAAATAAATAAATAAATAAAAAAAATAAGATTATAAATATTTTACAGCTGTCCAGCATTTTAAAATGGCAGCCAGATTAGTTTAGTTATGATTACCCCATTCTGATAATAAAGATAAAAACATGCATTTTGTTAACTTTGTATCTGTCTTAGAATAAAGTTGGAAAATAGGAATGAATTAATGAATGAATAAATTAAAAAAAAAAACATCAACTTTATGTCATGAGTGCGGGCCCTGCGTTTCTCCCTCTCACCACCAGAGGTCGTCATCTCCCGTCCTCCCGGACTCCATTCCCCAAACTTCACACACCTGTCACTTATTACACTCTCAGCTGTTCCTCATTGTCATGGACTATTTATACACCACACTCCCACCACTCTGCATGGCTGAATTGTAGTTGTAATTGTAGTTATTTGTTGTGTGCAGGTTGATGCAAGCACGTTGGATGCCGAATTTGTATCCCTCACCTGATCATGTTTTGTTTATCCGTTCTGATCTGTTTTTTGTTTCTTTTTGTCTGCCTTTGTTCAATAAATCTCATTTCACCTGCATTTGGCCCCAGACCCTGTTTTTCTACAGTGCTCTCTTACCGCACCGTGACAGAATTCAGCCAGCAAACATGGGTCCAGCAAGGAAGTTCCTCAACTTCTTTTTAAATTGAGGATTACACCAGGGACTTCGTTGGAGCGGCTCGCCGGTCTGTTACGGAGAAGACCTACCTCATGGTCTTTTTCTGGGGAGGCCTAGCCGAGCCCTTCAAGTCCCTTATGCCTTACTGGCACCCGGAGGAGTCACTGGAGGAATATGTCAATCGGGCTCTGTACTTGAGAGGCTCATCCTTCAGGGTGGAATTCGCTGTGGAGCCCGCTCACAGTTCTCTCGGAGTGGTGATCCAGGAGACTTCAGAGGTCTTGTCAACTGTTCCCAGAACCTCATGCCCGTTCCTGGGCCATCCTGGGCTGATAAGCAGCATGCAGGATCCTCAGCTGAGGTCGGTGCGAGCGGCGGTGTCCGCTCACAGTTCCCCCGAGGCGGCGGTGTCCGCTCACAAAGCTCCAGAAGCGGCGGTGTCCGCTCACATATCTCTTGAGGCGGCAGTGTCCACTCACAGTTCCCCCGAGGCAGCGGTGTCCGCTCACAAAGCTCCAGAAGCGGCGGTGTCCGCTCACAGTTCCACCGAGGCGGCGGTGTCCGTTCACAGTTCCCCCGATGCGGCGGTGTCTGCTCACAGTTCCCCCGAGGCGGCGGTGCCCACTGATGTTCCCTCTGAGGCGGCGGAGCTCGCTTCAGGCCTTCCCGAAGCGGTGGAGCCCGCTGATGTTCCCTCCGAGGCGGCGGGACTCGTTTACAAAGCTCCTGAGGCGGTGGTTCTCACTCACAAGGTTCACGAAGCGGCGGAGCCCGCTGATGTTCCCTCCGAGGCGGCGGGGCTTGCTTCTGGCCTTCCCGAAGCGGCGGAGCCCGCTGATGTTCCCTCCGAGGCGGCGGGGCTCGCTTCTGGCCTTCCCGAAGCGGCGGAGCCCACTGATGTTCCCTTCGAGGCGGCGGGGCTTGCTTCTGGCCTTCCCGAAGCGGCGGAGCCCGCTGATGTTCCCTCAGAGGATGCGGGGCTCGCTTCTGGCCTTCCCGAAGCGGCGGAGCCCGCCATTGCCCATTCCAAGGCGGCAGCTCCTCACACACCACTGTGGTTGCCGCTGGTTCTGCCCTGGGTCTCCATCCCGCCGGCTCTGCCTCAGTCCCCAGGTTCCCCTCCAGCACACGGACCTGGACCCCCCATCCCTCCCACCATCTCCGCCCCCGCTCTGCCGTCCCCCTGGTCGGGTGCTTGGGAACGTCTGGAAGCAGTTCCTTAGAGAGGGGGTTCTGTCATGAGTCCGGCCCATCCTCCCGGACTCCATTCCCCAAACTCCACACACCTGTCACTTATTACACCCTCAGCTGTTCCTCATTGTCATGGACTATTTATACACCACACTCCCACCACTCTGCCTGGCTGAATTGTAATTGTAATTGTAGTTAATTGTTGTGTGTAGGTTGATGCAAGCACGTTGGTTGTCGAATTTGTATCCCTCACCTGATCCTGTTTTGTTTATCCGTTCTGATCTATTTTTTGTTTCTTTTTGTCTGCCTTTCTGTTCAATAAATCTAATTTCACCTGCATTTGGACCCAGACCCTGTTTTTCTACGGTGCTCTCTTACTGCACCGTGACACTTTAAGAGAAATAAACTGAGTAGTTCCATAAAAATAAATGTATTAACTATAATTACATTGCATTTATTTAAAGTATAAGGGGGGGGACTCTTTCCCTCTTTTCATAAGAACTGATGAGAAAGGAACAATTTTCTGACTGAGATTGCTGAGCCTCTTCAAAGGGCTACCTGTCTTTCCCAGCATTCCCAGCATTCATGTGCTGCTTTGAATAGTCGTTTCACTGTGGGAGTTCACAGTGGTAAACTTCCTGGGCCATTTCCTCTCAAAGCCCTGTGTCATTTCCTTTCGTCTGCTTTCAGGGTCTGGGATGTGGTTATGGTGAGCTTTTAACATCAGAGAATCTATGATTTGTATTACCGCCACACTCTTAAAAGCTCATGCATCCAAGTTTAATTCCTTTTTCCTTTCTGCTTCTAAAACCACAGACTCGGGGGCTGAAGAAATGTACTCTACTTGGTTAACATTGTATTCAGTCCTGAACATTGACATGTAGATGTTTTTGGCAAAATAATGTAAGAGTGGGCAGCAAAAATACACCTTTAGAGTCAAAGCTCTCTTAGAACTGGCAAGTGTTTTATGAGAGACAAACTTACTATTTTATAGCATAACCTGTCCACAAAAATCATGGCAAATTACAGTATTTGTTACATTCTTACACCTAGATTTTCAGTTTGTTTTTAGTTTATTTGGTTGCAGAAACATGTAATGGGGCCAGATTTTGTACAAGAAGTGGCACTGTGTTGGTGGAAAAGGGATAAGAGAGACTTATCCTAAATAAAGCAGGTTCATGATGACAGCGCTGACAGATTCACCAGTTACACCATAGTCAAATTTGCCAAGCCAATTAGCTAGTAGGATGGTGACTCACCACAGGAAGTGGACTCGTCTGACATGTCTCCACAGTCATCATCTTGATCACAGCGCCACGCTTCTGGTACACAGCGACCATTACCACAGGTGAACTGACCAGCCCGACATGGCTGGGCTAAAGACAAAACGATAAAGGAAACAAGATAATCTGATTATTCATGGCATTTTAGTATATTTAGCAGTGGCCACCTGAGATATTAATCACAAAGAAAATAATATTTTATTCTGCTTCCATATAAAGATTCTATTATTTGTTTGTTTGCTTGTTTGGTAATTTTGAGCAAGAAAAAAAATGTTTAGGAAATGTTTAGAGAACAGATTGTTTCAACAGAATAATACAATTTGTACTTCTTGGAGAAACAAAACAAAAGTAGCCTAATTAAACAAACAAACAAACAAACATTAACAGGAAGAAACTCCAATTAAAACATGTTTAGTTCTATAATTAAAATAAACAAACCGAGTAGTTTCTTAAAACAAATGTATACATTAGTATAATTTAGGTTGTTACATTTATTGTCTAAAGTGTAAGGGGGAAAAGACTCTTCACCTCCTTTCATAAGAACTGATAACAAAGGAACAGAAGGGCTACCCTTACTTTCTTGCATTCTTGTGCTGTTTCAAAACTAAAACAAAACAAAACAAAAACAAAAACAAAAACAAAACAATTAACAGAACCATTAGCAGAACAACAACAAAAACAACAAAGGTTCTTTTTAAACACACACACAATTAAATGACCTTGCACCCGTTTTTGATTCCTAATCCTACTGGCCATACTTTAAACACACCTATAAGAGGCAATCAATTTAAGTATAAGAGTAATTTCTTTAAGGTAGTTTAATCTCATGTGTGACTCCAGGAATTAGTCCCACCAAAAGGCAATCATTTAATTCCAAGCTTTCTGATCAAAATTGCACTGATACACCAGAGACTATTTTACAGCCAATTCAAGCAATTCTCTGCTTCAGATCATCTTGAATCATGAAATATTAAATCGCTTTAACATCTGCTGTCAATTTCAGCTCCTCACTGATTCAGTATAATCACTTGTGTTCCACATCGCTTTGCTCTAACTGCTTCTGCCAAGTCAACAAAGGTCTGAGCCGTCTCCGGCTGGAAGGTCAGCTTTATCAGCGGGATGTCAGACTGTTGACAGCATTTATCACATCTGTTCCTTCCTTCCATTGATCTTACAGCACTTCAAATAGTGAAAGAGTGTTAACTACTGGAAACAGGCCAGGTGTTACTCGATTTTGTAAAAAGAAGGTTAGGGAAAAGTGATTCTGACAATCCGTAGCAAGAAAGTTCACTTCATTGCACATACACATTTATCGATTATCATGCTCTCATAAGAGAGTAAGTCAATGCACCTTGCCCTATTACAGTACCTGAGAAGGTAGCATGTCTCAAATAATACTTTTTTGTAACTGTAATAGTATATATTGATCTAAGACAAATTAATATTTTGCCTCTTAAAATATGAAAATATGCATGTAATTTCTCAGTAATGCTGCCAAGACAATTTGCTGCCCATTTATGCCACTTGATGATGTTATATGATGTTAATTATTAAATATTAATAATTAAGTCATATTAATGCTCGTTTTAAGATTCTACAGTTATGTGACTCAATGACAGGAAGACAAAGAAAAAATATTAAAATCCTTCATAGAGGATTAATAAGTTTTATGAGTTTTATAATAAGTGACCCCGATGTATTACTGGCACATATTGGTGGATGGATCTGTTTAATATGTATGAGGGAGTCGAGCTCTACCTGAGCATGTTTTATTAGACTCATCTTCGTTATCTCTACAGTCATTGGCTCCGTCACAAAGCCACCTTTTGGGTATGCAACGATTATTGGGACACTTGAACTGGTCAACCGGGCAACTGTGGTTAGCTGGAAGGAACAACAGAAACAAAAAATTCAAAGCATGTCAAACAGGAAATGTTTGTTTAAAAAAAATACATACTGTATCTAAGAATGTTACAAAGCATTTTCAAGCTTGACATATATTTTGGTTGTTTTATTTATTTTTATTACATGTTTTGTTATACTGCTGACAGCCCGCTCTACATATAAGTGAGTTCATATGCATAATACTCTACTTTTGTTTTGACACAGCAGTTTTCATTGTGCTATTCATCTATTCTCTTGAGCTAGCTTCACATTTATCTCAAAAATATGTGTTTGCCCTCAGGCTTTTGAGTTTATTTAAAGTAGCGCCTGTGTTTTCCTCTACTATTTGCTCTATTTAATAATAGAACCTGCTATTACTCATAACCCTGGATACTCAACGCGTCACCAACAGACAATGAGTAACAGATGAAATGAAAAACCGGATTCGATTGGGATCAGGCAGTAAAGTTTCAGCCGTATTAAACTATAAGACATCCCAGCAGAGCGGAAAATTGATTTTGCAATTCTGATAATTCTGGCAGAACATCACGTTAAAGTATTTCTCATAGTGAAAAATGACTCAGCCCCCAACGTTTTAACATGGTGCTTATCTTATCGATTAGCTCATGAGATGATTGTGCGGTGGAATGCAGTGCGTGGGAGAACAATTTGATACTGGCGTTCTTCCCGTTTGATATTGCAGCCGTTTTTTACCCTGAGATGTCAATTAGCAACTTGTTAATTATCTACAAATGATATGCAAACAGTCTGCTTGTTCAGATTTACATTTATGTAGATGCTTTTATCCAGTGCAAGTCAAGCTACGGTATACATTTTATCAGCATATATATTTACTTATTAAGTTATTATACAGCTGTCTGGGATTATTGCTTTTGGCTGGTCATTTGGGGCATTGTGAATTTGAACATTTTTGCATAATGATCACTAAACTGTATACTGGACCACTGCATATACTAAAGACAAACATAAGGTTTAAAATAACATTGTAATATTATTGCAGTGTTCATCTTGTTACCAGGTCGGTAAAAAACGGATGTCATCTGTGATACCTGAACAGAATAGAAATTTTATATTGAGTGATACATCACAGACATATATGACACTATGTGCATGCTAAATGACACAGCTTAAGGCCACAGAGGCTTGATGGTTCAGTAAAGCAGACACAACAGGGATTATACATCGCTGTCAGAAAGAAAGAAAACAAGGTACATACAGCATATGTGGGCCTCCTCATCACTGCCATCTAAACAGTCATCATCTCCATCACAAATCCAATTGACTCGTATGCAGCGCCAGTTCCTGCACTGAAACTCATCATTTTTGCACCGCTGGGGCTCCTCTTGACCTGCAGAGTCTTCAGGAGAAGAAAAACTGAATTGTAGAAAAAGAACTTCAAGGAAAATATAGTCAGTCACAGTGTAGGGGTGATGCGGAGTCTGAGTTTAATACTACAAATAAAGCAACAGATTGCTTTTTGAATTTATACTATTATACTCAAGCTACTTTTTCAAATAAATCAAGTGGGTTACTTCTCTCTTTATTATAGCATTGCAACATGACAAAAACTATTTAAAGCAGTATAAACTTCGATTCTGTCCTTTGTCTTTATTTGAGTAACTGATGACTGATGACTGATGACGATGACTGATGACGATGACTGAGGACTAGGAGTGAACCAAAACAAAACAAAACAAAACAATACACAAACAATACACAAACAATAAACAACAAAAAACAAACAAAATAAAAATTAGAAATGTATAATTAAAAAATCGTTTCAAATAGTTTAAATTAGTTTTCAAAATCCTAAATAATAAAAAAAAACATTTAAAACTATTTTACTTATGTTTAAAAGCAAAGATAAAAGAAAAGAAAAGAAATGTAGCTTTTAAATTACATTTTAATGACCAATGGCTGCCAGCAAAGGCACAGGTTATTGGACTTTTCGCCCAAAAGGTACTAACATATTGAGCTTTTCCATTTTTTTTCCTTCATTTTTTTAACATTAAACTATATTTAAAATATTAGTTAAATAAATACTTTTAAATATCACAATTTGATTTGTCAATTTGAGAAATTTACTTACAATTTTACATGATCATGATTGAATACACTGGTAAATGATTACTTTATTTATTTATTTTTTTAAGTTACACTCCTAGTCCTTTTCAGACTTCTTGTCCTGTGTGTTTTTTTTTTTAAGGGAATGGTATTTAAAGCATCCTACCAGAGCACGTGATATTGTTCTTGTCCAGGTGCTGGTTGTCGGCACACGCGCACACCCGGCCTCCCGGGATGGCCAAACAGAGGGTACCGCAACCACCGTAATTCACCCGGCAGGCATTGTCACCTAAAAAACAACCATAGGCCTAAACAACAGATATCTACAAATCTTCTTTCCCACCGGCAGGACGGCTGTTTATGTGTTCATCCTTTTATGGCTTTTAGCAACGTCTCTCCTTGAAGCACAGAACATAAAGTTCTTCTTCACTGCCCACTCAGAACCAATTTCCTGCTCTTCTGGGATGCCGGTGGTACACAGGGGCATTATTTTTAATCACACGTCAAGTAAATTATGGGAAACACTGGAGAAGAGAGCCATTTGACACTCTTTTTCTTTCACATATATAATTCGTTGTGTGGGTAATGACACCTACGATGGGGGAGGAGAGGAGAAAAACACAGTTTTGTGAGAAAACTGTCACTTATTAAGTTGAGGCATGGGGACAATAATAAGGTTTCATTTAGAGAGGGGTTGAAAGGCATTGCCTGAACCAATGAGATAAAAACTGTTTTGTAATGGCCAATCTGTGGTACTCCAGGGAGTGGAAACACAATTAATCTTTCTCCTGACAAGCGCTTTGAAGAAATTCCACTTCTGCTGAGAACGTAGACTGTCAAAAAGCCCGCATTTTCGGGCCAGGAAATTCATACATGACATAACGGCAGCTCCCCACCTTCTCCTCTCAGAAGTCTTGGTGTTACGAACGCTGTTACGAAGTTCGATGTCAAGAGGAGAATATTTAAAACATGATATGAGTCTGCTGGTCCCAACTGCCTACATCGTCATTCTCAAAAGAGTGAGTCTCTCTGACAAGCAGCGTACTGTCTGCTCTCCTAAAACTGCACCACCCTTAGGTAAGTAAGAGATGAAACATGTGGGAGCCGAACACACGGCTGCGTTCTCTGTGCCGCTCGTCTGCATGTGCAAGGGCCCCGCTGAGCAGTGTCCCTCCCTCTGAGTGTTGTGACTGGCAGTTATGAGGGAGGATGACAGTAATCATCCCTCCTTGCCTTAGACATCCACACAGAGTTAAACATTCTAAACAGAGCTTTAGCCCCCACTTCAGTGGATTAAACCCACCCACTCAACAGTACGGCTCCTGCTCTGCAGTTGGGTCTATGCTAATCAAAGCTAAAGCCATGAACATTTGTAATAGCTGCACTGTGTTTAAAAATGTCGTTTATTATGAATTTTCTGAAAGAATGCACTACTGCATGTAATATGTGAAACATTTTTCCACCAGATTTTTTTCTGTCTATTTAATTCATGCATATTGCAATTTGGTAAAATTAACCATTATGTATCAAAGTCCAACGCTGAGCATCATTCAGGAGTGAATTGAAAAGCATGCAAAAAGTGTGGGTTTGGTAAGATTTTTTACTGTTTTCGAAAGAAGTATCTTATGATCAGCAAGGCTGCATTTATTTGGAATATATATATAGCATTTTTTTTTTTTAATTTGCCTGTTCTTTTACTAATTTCTTTTATTTTATATTTATTAATTTATTATTTTGTAAAAATGTTAAAGTATTCACTGTCACATTTTTATCCAATAAATGCATTCCTGCTGTATTAAAAAAGCAGGTCCTACTCTTTAAAAAGAAGGGGGAAAAACAACTTCCTAAGCCCAAGCTAGGGAATGGTAGTGTACATTAATAAACCAACATTCTTTTTGCCATGGTAGAAGAACAATTAATTTTCCAGAATGGTGTAATTTACTCCAAAGTTTTCAAAATAGAAGCAACCATTATTAATTAGTTCACAAGATGGAGACCATAAACAGAAGTCATCTACTCTGCCTACAATCAAAATTAGATTCATAGATTCAAAATCCTCTGTGTTGCGGCCAATTCAATTTACATTGCAACTTACCTGTATGAATTAAAAGGGAAACATATAAATTCCAACCATTATTCATCAAAATATTGAAAAAAGATGAAAAATGTGTCATCTTGTAACTTTTCTTTAGTTAAAGTGACTTTACCCAGCTGGCTTTGTGCATCATATACTCGGAGCCCGAACAGAGGGGGCCGTTCACTCCTCAGCAGAGAGACTTCACCAGAGACCAGATCCAGCTGGAAGATGGAGGCGTTCATGTACTCCGTCCAGAAGATGGAATTTTGGTACTGTGCAATCCCAAACGGGTGACTGAGTTCCCTGCCACTGTACACAACCTACAGTGAATTGCAAAAAAAAAAAAAAAACACATTACCATGCACTGTTCTGACAACTGCGTGAGAGGATAAACCCCCTTTTTTTTCTCTTTAATGTCTCATTTTTTTCTCCTACACAGCAATGGGATGAAAAGTTTAAAAAGTGATGTTAACGATGTACCAATGCTTCAAGTACATGCCAGCAAACTCTCAAAATGGACTCTCATTTTTCGTTCAATTATTTTCGACCAAATTATCTGAGCTATGCTGTCAACATATATTTTTTAGCTCTACATGTTTATTCTGTCAATGTTTGTCTCAATAATAGAGCTGTTTAATCATGATGGCAATCCATAAACCTATTCAGAAAGCTAATTTTCCATGGGTTCCCTCAGGAATTTTTTTTTTAATAGTGGTTTTCGATCTGGAGTAAAATAAAGTTTGTGGTGAAATTTACTTGAAGATACTTTCCCATTCTGCAAGCCAGACCTCAAATGTCAATTTTTGAAATCACTGCCTGATTAAAAATGTGAGTTTACATGCTTGATTAATTGTTGAGTTGTGGTCCTTATTAGTCAGCATTATCATTGGAGTTGTAGCCCATATTAACAACTTATTAGAAACAAAATTCACATTTGAGATAGGACTGTGGATAATTTATATGTTGCAGAACATGAACAAGAAAAAAAGTATTTTCAAGTAAATTATAAGGGAACCCAGGTTAAATACTAATTCTCTTTCAGGTTTTAGGAAGCTCTGTCTCATTTGGTCACAATAATCCCATTTGATTTCTACGATTTAAGCTAAGAAATGGCAACATTTGAGCAATTTCACTCACCATTCTGCCAGTCCCATTGAGATAGATTCTCTCAATATGATCATAATAGGCATCACACCAGTACATGGTACTGGTTCCATGTTCCAGAGTGAGTCCATTGGGCCATAGCATGTTAGATGTGACAAATATTTTCCTGTTGGAACCGTCCATCCAGGCTTTCTCTATTCTACCAATGCTGTCGTTCACCTCATCCTCTTCCCAATCTGTCCAGTACATCCAACTGCAACCAAAACCAGAACCCAGTCAGTGTAGTCCATGAAAACAGCACTTGTATTTACTTTTGAAGCAGGCATGAATATCAGTCACATCTTACTCACTAAGACAGGAAGTGTACAGTTGAAGCAGATTAAAACAAATTGCCTCGAGGTCTAAAAATGTACAAGCTTAACTGAACATAACAAACTAAATATGCTAAAAAAAGTCAGCAACTCGCACATAGGGGAAATTAAGCTTATCTGGAGATTATATATATATGATTTTTTTTTTTTTTACACATTTCCTTTTCTATGTTAGGCATATAGACTTCTGTGCCAACATGAACTGTGACTCTCAATGGGTTAGTGATATTTGAAAAGTGATTGGGTCAAGGTTCTGACATGATCCTTTCCCTAGTAAGTGTGCTTAAGGGATTTGTTGCCTCTGAGTACTACTCAGCGGTCAACGCAAGCTCTTCTGTCTCATCAATGATAGAAGCCGTACTTCATGTGCACCACATAAAACAGAATTGGATAGAGGGCGAATCAAGCGCTCTCTGTCCCAGTGTGTTGGTTACGTGACCCCATGAATTATTCAGAAGGCAAACAGCCTGCTCCAAGTCACAGCCTGCTCCAAGTCTCATCCTGCACTGTTCAGAATGTAACATGCAGGATCTAACCAACATGGCATTTTCCATGAGTAAAGCACAAAACAGGGCCTGAGGCTCTTAAAAAAAGAATTGTTATTATTTTTTACTTTTTCAACTAATGTTCAGTGAAAGAGGTGTTTAACCTTCAGAAAATATTATATCTAATATTTATAATATAACATAGTATAATTTTTAGGAGGTCAAACAAACAAAAAACTATATGACCAGTTTTATTTTCGGTTAAATAAAATATGAAATATTAATAAATATAATAAATAAGAAATATAAAATAAAATAAGAAATAAGAAATACATATTATAATAAAATAATAAAGAAATATTAGATATTCTATAAATATCTAATATTTATAATATAACATAGTATGATATTTAGGAGGTCAAACAAAAAAAAAAACTATATGACCAGTTTTATTTTCGGTTCATTTTCTATGAGGATTTTATAAATGTTTAGTTTAGCGATGAACACTGAAGAAAAGAAGAAGAAGAAGAAGAAGAAATTTTTTTTTAATAGATTTATAAACAAGCATCAAATTAACAGACATTATATATACAGTTTAAAAAAAAACACTAGGGTTGAAATTTAACCTAAATTAGTTGCTAACAAAATTATATATCTCATATTTCTCTGGAAACTTGTTTCATGATGCTTTCCTTAAAATTTGGATTTAAGTCACCTACATTTCATGCTAGATTAATTGTTTGTCAGAAGATAGTTTATCAAATAATATTCCAATACTTCTCCCAATCAATCAATCAATCAATCAATCAATCAATCAATCAATCAACCAATCAATCAATCAATCAATTGTGCATCTAATGCTGTACATAAATAAATAAATAAATAAATAACTGTCACATATACACTACAGTTCCAATGTTTGAGGTTGGTAAAATTTAATGTTTTTGAAAGACTGCTCAACATGATGGCATTTACTTGATCAAAAATACAGTAAAACAACAATATTGTTGTTTATGTTATATTAAATTATGTTATATACTGTAACTTCTAATCAATTCAATGCCCTTTCTAGGTATTAATTTCTTTCACACAAAAATTACCGAACCCAAAGTTTTGAATGGTAGAGTTTGTGAAATAGTTAATGGCCAGAGAGTGAGAGGATGAAAGACAAAAATAAGTAGTAAATATAGGTGAGGATATGAGCATGAGAGAGAGACATTCCTTAAACTGGAGCATCAAGCTAGGACAACAAAGGAGTTTACAAAATCAGTTTTGACCGGCTGAAAATCCCACAGTTTAGAAAATCTGCTCCTGGGAATGAATATAGGACAGCAATGAAGTGAGCACAGAGTAGAGATAAAAAAAACCCACATCAAACAAATGGAGAGACAGAGATGTAAATCTTGAAAGTCCAAATGACAGAACACAAGATACTAAGAGAAAAAAGAGTTACTGAGGCAGGCATGTACATTCTTATCATGCTATCACAGGCTGCTTGTGGCATCAACAGAGAGATGTATACTGTATGGGTGGAAGAGATAAAGAAATCAGGACAGGTGGGTTTTATTTCAGGGGGAAGCCCATCCAGCAGCCCAGACAAAGATCAACATGCCACCTGCTCACCTGATAGATGGCCAACCCCTAATGATGGGGCATAACCCCCTTTCTATAAATAAGCCCATAGAGGTGGGTCAAAACAACACAGCCACAATTATACTAGAGATTATTAAAATAAAGGTTAAATTGGCTGCAAGATATTTGAGCAAGACATTTTTACTGGATTGTTAATATTTACTACGCATGCAGTATAACAATATGTTTGGGTCAACAAATATCTTAAACAATAAACCAAATTTTACATTTATATTGATTATATTGATACATTTATTAAAGGGGTCATATGATGCTGCTAAAAAGAACATTATTTTGTGTATTTGGTGTAATGAAATGTGTTTATGCGGTTTAAAGTTAAAAAAACACATTATTTTCCACATACTGTACATTATTGTTTCTCCTCTATGCCCCGCCTTTTTGAAATGCGTTGATTTTTACAAAGCTCATCGGTCTGAAAAGCGAGGTGTGCTGTGATTGGCCAGCTATCCAGTGCATTGTGATTGGCCGAATACCTCTGAGAACGGCGCGGCTGGCGGAGCCGACGAAGGAGCGAATATCTCTTTGGATTTGAGACTTTAGTCTTTGCAACTTTACAGATCTTCTTTATGCACCAAGAGCTTGTAACACTCCAAAGAGAAAGGAAAAATTGAAATCGCATCATATGACCCCTTTAATATAAATAATTGAATCATATTTTTTTCCCATTATAATTTATTACATTATTGTAAGATTTTTTTTATATATCTGAATAATTATTAAATTGTTAAAATATCAAATTGGATCAGTTATCTCACTATGTTATCTCTTAACTTATACATTTGATAAGTCTCAAATTTCTCACTCTGCAATTAAAAAGCTTGGAGTCGATAATATTTTTTCATGTTTCTGAAAGACATCTCATGCTCATGATGGCTTCATTTATTTGACTGAAAATTTAACTAGAGATTATTCAAATAAATGCTGAATTTATTAAAAATATTTTCCATTCAGTTATATGATATTTAATAAAAATATTGTTTAAGTATAGTTAACACTATATTTTATATTTACATTGAAGAATTTACATTGAAGAATTTTATATTTACATTGAAGCATGCATATTAGACTGGTCAAATTAAATCATAATATTTTTTTATTATAATGTTGTAATTAAAAACATAATAATTATATATTATTAAGCTATTCTAATAATATTGCATAATATTCTAATAATGATTAAATTGTTAAAATGTCAAATGTAATAATTATACATCTGATAAGTTTCTCACTCTGGACTTGAAAAACAGCCACAAAAAGCTAGCTTTGCTTTGAAGCACAGTACATGAATCACTATATTTTAGCCATCGTTCAAAGTTCATGCACTCTTTCCTCTGATGCCCTGTTAGAAAGGGGTCAAAAATTTGCATCCACTCCACACTTCCATCTTCCACCTTCAACTTTTTCCTCAGAGTCTTTTTTACTGGCTATCAAAACAGGACGCATCAACGGCACCTCAGAAGAGGTGTGCCTCGCATTTCCTGCCTGAGCGCTAGCTCCACAAAACTTTAGCTTTCCACTCCCAAAGAATAGTGTCAAGCAGTCTGCGTGACATCCTCTGAGCTGGCAGTTCAGCAGACGATGCTTTTAATGCAGATTTTAATCGCTTCCACACCACTGAAGTCATCCCAATGGGAATGACATGCGCTGGTGACTGGGAGATAAGTTGGCATTTTCACGTTTTACTCACGCAAATGTGCGCTATTTGCAAGTATCTGTTGACAAACTCACAAAAAGACAGTTTCTAGCTTCCTGTCATTGCCCCTTGCTTATTTTATTGTTAGCACTGCCATTCAAGATACATTAGCTTCATTAAATGCGAGAGAGAGAGTCGCATAAATTGTACAAGTGTGAGGTCTGAGCAATGAATATAATTATGGCTCTGAGCTAATGAACCCATTGTGTCTGGAAATAATGAAACTATTCTGCAGTAGCTTTCCCTCTCTTCAAATGATTTGGTAATCAACACCACTTGGGTTCACTAAAGATGGTAAAAATCTATTCCAATGTATATTAATTACTTAATGATAAGTGCACACTTTTAAATAAGCCATTTATTTACAGAGATTTCAAAATAAATTCATTCAAAAGTACTCAAAGCACCCTTAAGATACCACGTGGAATGCCCCAAAAGATCTGACGACCACCGACCAATCAGTATTTCGGTACTTGAGTACTTTTTAATCAGATAAAAAGAGAGAGAGCAGGTTGTCTGATTGGATCTGAGAGGACCGAGAGTGGTTGTTTCCTCATTGCAGTATCTCGCTTTATCAGCGTTGGCTGGCTGCACCTCCTCAGGATTCATGAGTTACTCTCACACCCAGGGAGGGTGATAATGAGATTGGCTCTGGGCCATCAAACTCACCTTTTTACTGGCCGTGCCATGTCAGCTTACTGGTACACACACACATTAACCAGTGCAGACGGAGATATGCATGGATGGGCGCACGCATGCTTCACTACTCTATGTACAATTGCATTCGCCTTTGAAGCCATGCAGTGTAAACAAATGCTGGTAAATAAACTGGAATGAGGACTGTTCCTTCAGGCCATGTGGAAAGTGAGAAGAGCTCAGCATTTCATCACAGATTGCAAATGTTGATGTAAAGGAAGGTTACTCATGCTTTTCCAAGCATATTTCAAGCAGATTTATTGGTAAAACTTTATTTTGCTACTTACTTTAGAAATTCTGTTGACTATAAGTAACTTTGCAACTATATATCAACCACCAGTTATTAGAGTATTAGTAAATTGCCTACTTAACATCTGCAAACACTTTATTTTGTTGGTGCCCCTACAGACATTCTACTGACTATAAGAAACTTTGCAAATACATTTCAATTTATTCTACAAACCCCAAACCTAATCTACTAATACTCTTATTAGAGTTAGTTGACATGTGTTTGCAAAGTAACTTATAGTTAGTAGAATGTCTAAAGTGGACTGTCGAAATAAAGTGTAACTGATTTTTCAATAATACAAGGTATATGGCCATATCCACAAAACAGAACAAGCTTAGGGATGCCTTATATTTTGGCACCAAACTGATTAAAGTCCCTCTACAATCACTAATTTTATCAATTAAAACTCACCTTTTTCATCCAAATTATATATTTTTTCCCCATGAAAACAATGTATTCACATCTTAAAATGGAATATAGCTCTTGAATATAACTCTACACCCTTACCTCATTGAGTATGCGTGAAATCATGAATATGATAATTAGTCCCCTCCTCCACTCAAACACACCAGCTCGAACCTGCTCCACTTTCATTCAGTTAACTGAAGTAGTAAATGCTACACAATGGCAAGTGGCAATCTTGGATTAATGGTTATTGCTATGTCATTCATTGCAGTTCCGAGAATGAATTCTTGAGTGAGTGCGCAAAAAGTGTGCAAAAAGCACTCCCCTCACAATCACTAAAAGGCTGTCACTCATCGTAATTCATCGTGATCTCACGAAGTTACGTTATAATCAATGAAGCTCTACACTGCACAGTTAATCTCGTATTTACATTGTATCTACACCTTCTTATGAGAGGATCTGCGATCGTGCAGACCTCAGCACTGAAAGAAAAGCCTTTGAGCGAAAGAAAAAACACCTCTGAATGACCACTGCATTCAGGAAACTAACACATATGTCTACGATTGGCTACATTACTCAACGCTGCAAAAGCACATGAAATAGAAACCTTTGACCAGATATGAAAAGCCCTGGTAGTTAAATAATATAATATATATATAAAAAAAGTAACAAATGCTTCTATCCAAATCATACATCTATGAATGATGACTGGCATTTCAAATCACTGTATAATACATAATCTATATTTAGGATTGCTAAAAATATAGTATAAATATATGTTTTCTCTACTGTACCTATTCAGAGGATCCACCACTATGGCTCTAGGGTGAGACATGTCTCCCTCCAAAAGAGTCTTCCTGGTTTCAGATGCCCACTCCAGCCTAGCCACGCTGATGGTTTTTCTGTAGCCATCATTGGTCCAGTAGAGATTATTTCCAATCCAATCCACTGAAATCCCCTCCACATTATCAAGATCTGTAAGAGCACACACAATTTGGCTGCTGAAAAGCTGTTATCGAAAAAAATAACAAACTTTGTACCATTTATATGATTTCAATTCATGCAATTTCAGGTGTAAACAGAGTCTATTTGTAAGAAAATGAAGCAACTTTACAAACTGAAAACACCAATAATATGAAGAAGAATGCAAAATGTTCAGTATTTACCATCTTTGAGAATTGTTTCCCGGCTGCTTCCATCGACTTTCTGCCGCCCTATCAAAAAGCTTGTAGTATCAGCGAAGTAAATGTTTCCTGTTTCAGCATGATAGTCAAGAGCTCTTGGATTCACCAAGTCCTCAATAGGAACCATGTACTCATTGCTAGACTTCACATTCATGTCCAGACCGTGGATTATCCCAGGTCGTCCCTTTCCATAGAAGAGGAATAGATCATTCTTGGGTTCTGTGAAGACACAGATAGAAAGTATTAACATAAGTCCTTCTATGCCATATACACTACCAGTCAAAAGTTTGTAATAATTATGAATTTTTTTTTGTCACATGATCCTTCAGAAATCATTCTAATATGCTGATTTGCTGGTCATTTTTTATTAGTGCTACAAGTATTTATAATGGTTCTTATTATTACCAGTGTTTCTTATTATTGCTGCATATTGATGAATACAAAGTAAAAAAATAACTTTATTTTAAATAGCAATCTTTTTTAACATAAATGTCTTTACAGTTAATTTCAGATTATTTTAAGCTGTCCTTGCTGAATAAAAATATTTGAATAAAATATAAATAAAAGATGTAAAAAAAAATGAATAGTACTGTATCTCGGTTTCCACAAATATATTAAGCAAAAAACTGTTTTCAACATTGATAATAATATGAAATGTGTATTAAGCACCAGCATATCAGAATGATTTCTGAAGGATCATGTGACACTAAAGCCAGGAGTAATGATTTCTGAAAATTCAACATCGCCATCACAGAAATAAATTACATTTTAACATATATTACAACAGAAAACAGTTATTCTAAATTATATTAATATTTCACAATGTTACTGTTCATACTGCATTTCTGATCAAAGAAATGCACCCTTGAATAGCATAAGAGACTTCTTTTAAAAACATTTTTAAAAATGATAATTATTAAAAATATTTGAATAAAAGTGTTTAATTTTTTACTTTGATCCCAAATCAGTTGCGTGAAGATCTACAAAGCAAAATACTGGCAGAGGCAGACGTGTTAACCCCCTGGGGTCTGAGGGTGTTTTGGAGGCCTGGAGAACTTAGAGAAATGAATGGAGCAATCAGCATCCCCAGGCAAAAAATATCTTGATTGAGAGGATTTATTTGACAAGCTCCAGCAATGATATTTTTGTTCATTGGGACTCTGTTTAAACAATAAATCTCCTGTTGTTAGATTAGCACAGGCACACAACAGAGGCTGAGGTTATCCATGGGCTTGCAACAAGCTCAAATAAATTAACCTCTAGTCACAGTGGGGATAAAACAAAGGGCAGCCTGGTCTATCTGTTATGCGGCAGGACGATGGGAAAGGAGATGGATTCTGGGTAAAGAGAGGGACCTCACCTCAACATCCACCTCCTCCCTCATGGGACCACACCAGTGTGGGTGAGACCACACAAATATCACTTCAATTTATCATTCTGAGTGGAAGAGCTCCACTACCTTGAAGACAATTAAGCGGTTTGAGACCTATATATCAAAAAACACAGGGACTACTGGATGCCACAGTCATTTAGCATAGCTTCTCAACTGATGGGAAGAGGCAGGAAGTAGAACATCTGGGTGGCGGTATAAATCAGAAACGTCTCAAGACGCACAGCTTGGTTCATTATTGCAGTCACTTCATGCTTAACTCAGGATCGTCATTAATTGACCCATAGCTTTCATTGTCAACTAAGTAAAACGTCCATTGATCAGGAGGATCTGCGTATAGGGGAACAGAGTGGAAATGGCAGTAATGGCAGTAATGAATCATGCTATAGGCAGTCAATAAAATAACATCACAACCACGTGGGCCAATCTCCTTAAAAGTTCATCTCCATCTCTGTCAGTGCCAAGACTGGCGCAAATGCAGAACCGCTCAATCTTCCTCCTTAATAGTGTAACAACACGCACATTTCAATTTCCAGCTCTAGGTAGCTGACGGGAATCGAATAAAACAAAGACATATTCCATCACCATTTCTGCAGGGATGACGTGACATTAGGTGTGGTGTGGTTCAACTCTAATTTTATGAAGCTATGAGAATACCTTTATGCGCAAAGAATGCGTTGTGGTACTCTTGTGAATGCACAGTGGAGACTGACCCGAAAGAGAAGAAATCGTTGAATAAAGTCACTATTTTTGTTTTCTTTATGCACAAAAAGTATTCTCATAGCTTCAGAAAATTAAGGTTGAACCACTGATGTCACATGGACTTGTTTAACAATGTCCTTTCCTTTCTGGGCCTTGAACGTGGTACAGTAGTTGTGTTGCTGTCTATGGAGGGTCAGAAAGCTCTTGGATTTCATCAAAAATATCTTAATTTGTGTTCCGAAGATGAACAAAGGTCTTACGGGTTTGGAACGACATGAGGGTGAGTAATTAATGACAGAATTTTCATTTTTGGGTGAACTATCCTTTTAGGATTTCAAGACAAACACTCACTGGAATGAGGCTACTTAGATTTACTTGATTATCCCTTATTATAATTTTTATAAAAATCATGTTAAATTGTTTCAAATATGATATATCAGGGTCTTGTGGAATGTTTATTTGTACATTTCTCAATCATCATTGTATTACATTGCATTATATGTTTTACCCCCACAATAAAAACTACAGAGCTTTGATCATTTTTAGGTTTTGTCTTTTAGTAAAGGCTGAAAAATATATATTTTTTCATACTATTACGTGATAATTCAGGCTTACAGGGTTAAAAGTTACACTGACAGTCTTTACTATTAAGTAAATCTTATACTATTACTAGAAAGGACCTCTACAGCCCTGAAAGACAGTGGTGACTTGACTTGACTTGACTATTATTATAATCATTATTATCATTATAAATCATATTATTTCAGAACAACACATTTGAACAGCTACAGTGCACAAAAGTAAGGCTGTGAACTATGGTGGACTGACTTTTGCAGGACAGCCCATCACTTCCCAGGCTGAATCCGGTACGACAGCGGCAGCTCCGGGATTTGTAGCTCCCGCTGAGAAGGCAGATGTGCGAGCATCCTCCTGGTTTACCATAAGGGTCAACTTCACACGCATGGCCCTTGACTGAAGAGAGGACACTTGTGTCACATTTGCAATTAGCATATTCATATATGCATATAATCTTGAAGAATGTATTGTTGTTTTAAAATATATAATACAAAACCTGAAACAAAAGCCAAAAAGTGATGCACATGATGCAGGAAAAACAAAAGAAAACAGATGCATAGACATGCATGCTGTTCGGTCTAAACAAGCAATTCAAACCAAACACATACTTTACCTTTCGGCTGACTGAGCTTGTGGTAAACCCGTATTGTTTTTGCATTTCCTATGCTGGTTAGCGTCTCCGGGTCTGTGACATTAAAGCGATTTATCCGTAAGATGTCTACCACTGCTCCACTGGAGGGTTCAGAGCGAGTTGCGTACAAGTAGTCCTCAAAGACAGCTAATCCATGAAGGTGGGCCACCTAGAAAAAGGAACATTGACTACTTCAGGTTGATTAGAACACCCAGAAGCTACTTAGCTAGGTAAATATCACCTTGTAAGCTCAACAAAAAGCAGAACAGCACAGATACAGTCCTTGGTATTTCCCTTTGATTCAACATCAACATTCAACATCGAATTAGCCATTAGCTAAAGCTGTTATTAGACTTAATTTGACCTGGCAACAACCCACAATCTGAATAAAGAGGTGCAGATTTGCAGACAGGCGGAAGGTAACGGAATCGTGTTGATATGCATTCAGGCAGTTCAGGATGTTTGGCTGGGTCAGCTAGAGTGCATGTGTTTCTCTGGGGACACCTCGATTCTGTGCAGTGATTCTAGCCTACATGCTATCTCTGCAAGCAACATGTGACAGGAGCAGACTGGGAGTGCTGAACCCTGCCTGCAAATACACACACATTAAAATGTGCATTGTGCTTCATCTAAACCCACAGGGAGATAATTCATCCTCTCTTTCCCTTACTGCAAGAGGTAAGAAATAGTGGCAAAATAGTGTGGCTCATAATGCTATTCTCGTTTAAATTTATAGTCAGATACTCAACCATTCCTCCAGGGCAAGAGTGGATATTCCAGTGTCCCCACAAAGTATTTGGACAGTTAATGCACAATTAAAATTACATTTTTTGCCATTCTAGCAATTACTTTTAATCAACTGGTTTTGAGATCAGTTTTAGTGGATGTATAAAGTGAGTTCACACAGGGGTCCATCATATTAACAAAGAACATTTCATAATGATACTATATGAAAGCCAGTTTCCACCTCTGAACCACGTTTGGGTCGGTACAGTTTCTGAAAGAAGGGTAACAATTTAGTATAGGGACCAATTCTCACTATTAACTAGTTACTTATTAGCAGCCTATTAATAACATATTGGTTGTTTATTAGTTCTTATAATGCACATATCCTTAATTCTACCCAATACCTAAACTTCACAACTAAATAAAAAGTTCTCCTGCAAGGGTGCCTAATTAGAAAGGGTATCGTCACATAATAAGAAACCCGTTAGAAAAACAATGAAGTCGAAAAGGGTAGATACCGTTTACTAGCATATTGGATAAGTATATCTTATAAATATGCAGAAACTCACCTTAATTTGCGATGGAAATTAAATGTGTTAGCAACCTCTCACCAATACGTAGCAGCTCACATTTAAGAGCTCCATTAAACCAAGCAAATCCGCACCTGCCTGCATACAGTCATCCATTGCTCAATGTACGTGGCCTTCTACACTTTCCAACAATGAGAAGATCTTTGGGTTGCTTAGCTGAGGTCTACTTTTGAATAATAATGATCCATAATTACCATCCTCTTAAGTGCACTTCAGGTAAAATATTCAAATGGTGAAGCTGTTTCTGTAGCCCGTGTTCATTTAAACTAATTAATGCAAGAACTAGCTTGAGAAATTAAAACGCAGATGAAGCCACACAGATACAGTCGCTGCTAGGTATAAATGTCATAACCAATTAATACTTGAAATCAATCTGTGTACAACTGTGTTGGTTTCTTTCTTCCCCTATCAGGAATGATTTAAATCTGGCATCAGACAAACAACGCTTTACTTCCCTTCACATCACCATTGGTAAGTATTCATATCATATTAATTTTACTATTAAGAGCTTATCTAAACAACATCTTTTTTGGTGTATTAAAAAATGGTAACATTAGCAAAATTTCGGAATGATTTCGCAGACAAAAAAGTCCATTGTCCATTGTCAATAGTGTAGTGCAGCTCACACAGAAGTCACTTTCAAACCAAGCAGTTTTTTTCCCCTCCAAATTTGCATGACCAATGTGAACATGAGCGAAATCAACATAGGTAAATTTTTTGCTCAGTCACATGGATTCAAAATGAAATGACGGGATTTTTGCATTCAAAATTTCGCCAAGCATCAGTAAATGTGACTGCACCTTTTGGCTAGGATAACCTTAAGAAGAACTCTCTTTTATGATCATCTGCTGCTAAGCTACTACATTTGTTATTCCACCCCTGTACTGTTCAAAAGTTTGGGGTCAGTATTATTATAATTTTAAGAAATTTGTATTATTATTATTATTATTATTACTATTATTACTATGATAAATATTGAGGCAAAAGTTGTACTTAATGGTTTGTTAATAGTGAGAATTTGTCCGTAAAATTTCGATCGAATGAAGTATCTTATGCTCACCAAGGCTGCATTTATTTGACCAAAAACTAAGTAAAAACAGTAATATTGTGAAATATTATTACCATTTAAAATAACTTCTTTCTATCTGAATATACTTTAAAATTTAATTTATTCTTGTGATGGCAACAGCAGCTATTACTCCAGTCTTCAGTGTCACATGATCCTTCAAAATTTTTGTATGGACACCATCACGTAAAGTTTGCATTTATTTAAAGAAAATATCAATTTAATGTGCTAAATGCTAAATAAAACTATTAATTTCTTTATAAATCAATCAATCAATCAATCAATCAATCAATCTTACTGACCCCAAACCTTTGAATCATAGTGCATGTAACATATAATAGTCACAGTCATAAAACTGATATAAAATTGCAATTGAAAATAAAATATCAATAAAGAGAAAATAATGAAAACTTTTTACCTATTATTAAATCACTTAAATCACAAAATATATTTTTGTGCAACTGTTTGCTTGAAAGTTTTTTTATGCAACTATCTAATGGAATTACATTCATGAATTTTTAAGTGCAGCTTAAGTATCCAAACACTCTGGTGGCCACTGCATATCAAATGTAATTATTTAAATATATATATTTGCGTCAGTATTATTATAATTTTAAGAAATTTGTATTATTATTATTATTATTATTACTATTATTACTATGATAAATGTATTTATTTTTGCAAAAAAAAAAAGCACTCAATTGATCAAATGTGACAGACGTGTCCACAAAAATATAATGCAGCACAACTGTTTTTAACATTGATAACAATGAATGTTCAAAATGAAATGACGGGATTTTTGCATTCAAAATTTCGCCAAGCATCAGTAAATGTGACTGCACCTTTTGGCTAGGATAACCTTAAGAAGAACTCTCTTTTATGATCATCTGCTGCTAAGCTACTACATTTGTTATTCCACCCCTGTACTGTTCAAAAGTTTGGGGTCAGTATTATTATAATTTTAAGAAATTTGTATTATTATTATTATTATTATTACTATTATTACTATGATAAATGTATTTATTTTTGCAAAAAAAAAAAAGCACTCAATTGATCAAATGTGACAGACGTGTCCACAAAAATATAATGCAGCACAACTGTTTTCAACATTGATAACAATGAATGTTTCTTGAGCACCAAATTTTCACATGATCTTTCAGGAATCATTCTAATATGTTAATATTAGGATGATTTCTGAAGAATCATGTGACAATTAAGACTGGAGTAAAGGCTGCTGAATATTCAGCTTTGCCATTACATAAATAAATGTGATTGTAAACTATAATAGAAAAGAGTATTTAAAAATTTTTAAACAACATTTCACAACATTACTGTTTATACTGTATTCTTGATCAAATAAATGCAGCCTTGGTGAATATAAGAGACTTCTCTGCAAAACATAAACAAAATTCTTCAACCCCAAATCTTTAAACAGTAATGTATAAAGCTGCAAAATGACAAAAAAAAAGAACAAGAACTCACTTGATATCCCTGGATGATAGTGTGTCTGTTTTTGCCATTGTAATCCACCATTTCAATGTAATCCAGATATGCGTCTGCCCAGTACACCAACTTTTTTACCAGATCCAATGCCACGGCAGTCAGCCGCTCAACCTTATAATCCACAAGTCGAGTTCTGTTGGTGCCATCCATGTTGCAGCGCTCCAGTTTGGCTTGATTCCCGTAGTCAGTGAAGAAGAGCATCCTGCAAGTGATCAGGAAGTGCAATTGTTTTTATTAAAACATATTGAGGTCACCCAAAAAATGAAACTTCTATCCTAATTTGCTAATCTTCATGTCATTCCAAACCCGTAAATCTTTCCATAAGACAACAGCTAGAAGTGACCAAGGAAGCATTCTGTACACTATACAGGTTTGAAACAACATTTGGTCGAGTAAATAATGTCACATTCTTTCCTATTCCCTTAAAAGTACACATTACTGTGACACATAAAACAACAAGATCTATTTTTCATCACTGGCTGTTCCTGTAAGACTTTCTTTTTGTTTCCACCCATAAAACATGTTGCCAATTAAAGCAAGACCTCATTAGTGACAGGCATAAATGCATTTATCAAATGACGCCATCCTCCTTTGAAGTATTTCAATTACAGTAGCCCTGCTCAAAAAAAGATGCCCTTTGTGTATGCAAATAAATGACCAGGCTACAAACAGCTACAAAAAGTCTACCAGTGATTGCAAAGTGTGTTCGACTGAGTGTTCAAGCTCTAACAACATCAGATACCTAGTGGCTGATGCAAACACATAATTTAATTAGGAATCTAACAAGGAAAGAGTTCACATGCAGCCAGCAGTCCCCAGGTGCTTAATTGCTCCAGAGAAGCAAACATAAAACATAAAGGAAATTAAAAAACTTCCCCATAAGGAGCTTTTTATCATGGCAGATCCATCTCGTAGTCTGTTGTTATCCAGAATTCTTTGCAGCGCAGTATCAACCTTTTCTTGTAAGTCATTTCATTTGTCCCTTGGGGACTGAAGTAGGAGAACTCATTAAATGTTTCAAAGTCAGACTTTTAGCTGATTAGAATATTAGTAAAAGATGTAAAAAGCATGTCTCTCTAAGGCTTCTGCTTCTTGACCCTCCTCAAATCTTTTGTTTTCTGAATGCTAGAAATAATTGAACCTTGTTTCAGTGATGCTTTTCCTGCCTGCCAACAATAAAAACTAATTGGCTCCTGTAACACGTACAAAGTTCCAGTACACTGTGGTGTGTTTGACTTGCTCTGTGTTCCTCAGCCAGATTCTTTTTTTTTCAAATTTGGAACAGTTCAGCCCTCAATACAGAAACTGATACTACACTGTTCCATAAAGAAAAGAACAATTCATACTAGAAGGGAAAACAAAAACATTAACTGCATTGTTCCGTTATGTTCAAAGTCGTACAAACAGGATTCAAAATCAGATAGACATACTCTCAGCCACATCCTCAGACCACCCACTGTCTAGTGCATATTGTACAAAAACTGGAAAGCACATTTTCAATTTGGCAAGCTTCACTGTTTTTAACTTGACATACCAGCTTAAAAATGCAACACTCAAGTAACAAGCCACTTGAAAGTAAGGAATAAATACATTATACACTACCGTTCAAAAGATTGGTGTTCTTTAAGAAATTATTACTCTTATTCAGCAAGGATGCGTCAAAGGCATTTATAATGTTACAAAAGATGAAAGAAAAAGATGAAAAGATGTTTGCTGAGCACCAGATCAGCATATTAGAGTAATTTCTGAAGGATCATGTGACACTGAAGACTGGAGTAATGATGCTGAAAAATGTGTCGACCATTACAGGAATAAATGGTCACATTTTAAGTTTGAAGACAATTCTAAACTATAATAAATTAACTATTAACTACAACCTTTACCTCAATAAACTCTTAATTTGCTGATTATTAATAGTTAGTAAGGTAGTGGTTACATTTTGGTATGGGGTAGGGTTAAGGGATCTAAAATATGGTCATGCAGAATAAGGCAGCGGTTCCCAATCCCAGTCCTCGCATGTTCATATTTTGCATGTCTCTCTTAGCTAACACACCTGATTCAGATAACCAGCTCGTTAGAAGAGAGCTACATGAACAGTGTTCCGATTGATATGATCTCTACACAGTGTTCATTGCTCCCTACTCCCTGAGCAGGGGAAATCCATTGAAGTTTTCTTTCGGAACATTCATTCATGGATTTGCATTTATTTGCGTTATTTGGAAACGCTGGAATAAGGCATCGCTATGTGCTTTGTACGTAATAATAAACAGCCAATATGCTAGTAATAAGCATGCTAATAAGCAAACAGCAAATAGTGAGAGTTGGTCCCTAAACTAAAGTGCTACCGAATATATTACATTTTGAAACATTAAAATAGATGGTTTTAAATTGTACTAATATATGTTTTGTTTAAATAAATGATTATATTATATATTGTCAACAAGAGGATCCATCTCTTTCTGAGCAAGCCACTGCCATATATTAGATTCAAGTGCTGCTGAATATGATTTTTAACACCAAAATAAATGACATACAGAAGGATAAAGCTGATAAGGGATCTGCAAGTTCAGTGTCTTTTTCCTGCTATTATATGGAAGAAAAGCTTTCATACAGCAATCCATGATATTATTCACTCATCCACATTTAATCTGCGAGATGGCTGGGTCATTGTGACTATGATAAAGCAGTTTAATCTGCATAGAACACATTTAACACTTGATTTATGTATATCTTAAAAAGTATGTTGCCGTTATATTTTTTTATACATTGTTTAATTTTATTGGTAAAGATCAGCAAATTAATAAGATAATAATTTTCAGTGTTTGTATGGCAAAGATCAGCAAATTAATAAGGCGAGAATGGTGATGTGTCATCATTTAATAAAAAAAAAATAGCTACTTTTATTAATAATCAAAACAAAATATTCTCCTGCCACAGTTCGTAACGAACAATACAGTTTGTTAGGCTTACTGTAGACATTGTTGCCAAGCAATTTAGCAACTTGCTACATTTAGAGAACATATAATCCTCATCAGAATCTAGAATTTAGAATTAATAAAATAAATCATATTTATTAATTACTGTATTATCAGCGACATTCAACAGGTCTGCAATATCTCCAACGAAACACACCAAGAATCAGTACTACATAATTAGAGGACAACAAAGGCAATAAAGCAAAATGAATTAAAAAATAAATCCATAACTTGTTTATATGCCGTATATTGCTCTGCGCTCTAGCACTGAGTGTGTGTTTGAGGCAAACAAACATTTTCCACCATTGTTCACTGTACTGTGTATATACTTTCTACATCTGATTCTAATAATACAAACAGATGAGACATGGATGCAGAACATATTCTTGCAGTGAATGTTGCATTCTGATACCACATAACAATAACCACAGAATGATAAATCAACAATACTTTATTTATTTGTTTGGTGATTAGATAACAAACTCAATAATCCTAGACAAACCACAAAACACAATGGGAACCAATCTGACCCAGTCATACATCTCATCTGTTTCTTTAGACCTTTCAACCCTGACTTTAAGTAATCACTGCAAGGTGACACAATGGTCCAACCCAAACCCGGACCGCAGGGGAATTTCATTACTGTAGAGAATACCAAACTGAAAATGCCTCCCCTTTCTTTCACCAAGACAGATTACCAAACAAGAGTGTGGGTGGGGGTGGGGGGTGGGGTGGCTCGAATAGCGGATGTATAAAGATTTGCGCACAGCTCTGTTTTCATTTTGCTCTAAATGAAATTCAAGTTTCACACTCTCCACTGACTAAGAAAAATGTCTCACCTTGCTTTTTCGAATTGATTTTGAGGAATAAGTTAGACTTTGAAAAGCGAGGTTAAACCAAGTTCAGTCTTATTCCCTCTCTGGGATTTTTGTTTCAAATTAGAAAGCTACATTTTACATAAAGCCTCTCCAGAAGCGTACAAGAGGACGGAGGCTCCTTCAGGAAAACAGGCGAGAAATTGGACAAAAAAATAGGGAAGGAAAAATATTTCAGAACCACAAACGAAACACTTAACGTTTCATGAACTCCTTCCATAACTACTACGCCTCATGCTGAGCCACTATCACAAACCGCCTCAATTTCTTTTGTTTTCACTCAAGCTCTCCAGGCTGACAGACCTCCTGCGTTCCCTCAGCCTCCCTCACACACAAGCAGCTCCAACCTCATCTCGCCAATTACAGGAGGAAGACCAGAAAAAGCAGAACGGCAATGTTATGTAGTAAACTGCACTTTGCTGAAGCCTGGAGGTTTAACCGCTGCACTCCTCTCCCACATTCCCGGGAGGAAACTGGCTGGATGCATTGAAGGCCATGTACAAATGTGAGAGAGCCATTCCCGTGGGTTATGTTTATGTAAACGCACCAACGGCGCGTTAAAAAAAAGCGTTTAAGTTGGTACAATTACATGCTCATCATGGACCATAAAAGGACAGAAAAAGGCATGTTCACAGTGAATGGAGGAGGAACAGTGTTGAGCTTGTTTGATAAGGGTAAAAAGGGCAAACTTCAAGTTTTTCCTAAACCGGATTTTCTGCTTAAGGTCGGCTATGTGAGGTGAATAAGGGGATCTTTCAAAAACATATGGGAGCCCAAGAGAAAAGCTCAAAACCAGAAGCATATGTTTCTAAAGCCATATCCTACAGCATATGTACTGCACACCGAGAGCTTTGCAGAGTTGAAAGCTAGAAAAACAAAGCAATTCTGTATCTAGCCAAGCGTTTTATTTGGCCAAAAAGACTGAAGCATTTGCTTTCACTTTACTTGTGCACTTTGTACAACTTCTGCTTTCAAATCGTAGATAATTTTATTATAGCCTATATATTTTTCTTTGCCCATAATGAATACAGTGGTGGCCATTGTTAAATTATTATTAGAACACTAGTATTTTCACCAGCTAAAAATGGTTTTAAGTCAGTTATTTTTGTCTTTTGCTGTAGTGTGTCAGTAGGATATATCAGTTTACATTTCCAAGCATTCATTTTGCCATTAATTGTAATAATTCAGTGAGATTTTTGTTTGCACAAGGAGTCTGACAACAGCCAGTGCTCCACACAGAGATCTGATCTAATCATCATCCAGTCTGTCTGGAATGACATGAAGAAACAGAACAAACTGAAACTAAATCCAGAAGAACTGTGGCAATGTCTCCAAGATGCTTCAAGAAACCTAAAAAAATTACTTTTATTCCTACAGACACCATATGGAGCATCGAGATGCCTTTGCAAAAAAATAATTTTTTACCTTAAAAAAGCCGCCATATTGAGTGTTACAATTTCTATCATTCATATGTATGAATAGACCACCTCTGCCTTATACTGTACAGTCGGCAATAAAACATACTTTAGCACTAAAATGCCAAACACTAAAGCGATGCAACTAGAGAATTCAGTGTGCATTCCATTCAAAATCTCTTGAAAGTTTTTGAAAGATCTGCGAGGTTGTTGATGATCACAGGAGAAAGAACACAGCATTTAGACTCAAAGAGATAAATGGCTGTCATTTCCTTTAAACACGCCTTCATTCAGGGCAGTCAGGATTTCGTTTTTGTCAGAGTCACAGCACGAAAACAAAAGCATGACAACCACACACACCGAAGAACGGAAGTGAAATTGATGTCCTGGGCTCTCCTTGCAGTCTTTAGTCTGCTGAACACCGGTGCTACAATTTAGGTTCACTGGGCGCAAGGCGTCTCATTAAAAAACCCGGAACAGAGTGCTCTGCCTATCCGTGCACTCTCATGAATAAATGGGACAAACTCTCTCCTGAATTCCTATTCTAAGCTCGCCGGGAATATTACCACGGCGCTCCTTTTAGCGGCTAATGACTAGAATAATCATGCTGCCCTTCTCTCCTTTGAGGACTCTTTGTGTTCTTTTACTAATTTCTCCCGAAACATTTCCACAATCACCATGCTGACGTGAGGGATCCGCCACCCCCTTGTTTCAACTGCGGCTTTGTGGTGTCAAAGCAAAACAAACCTCATGTAAAGCAGATTTCTGCAAGGGCGTTCGAGACTGTGGGATGCTGGATAAATCATGGAATACTAATGACACTCCTGACTGTGGGAGTCGTAGCACAATCATGCAACCAGACAGTGTCGAAAAGAAGAGTAAATATTGAGCTCTGGGAACAGTACAGACAAGACACATTCAGATAAATATTTGCCTAACATATTGCAATATGTGTGAGAGGATTTAGATTATCAAAGGCCCTAGTCAAAGATGAAATCTCACTTCATGCATTTTCAACTCACCCCATTAGAGGATCCAGAGCGATTGCTTTAGGGTTCAAAAGGTCGAGGTCTATCACCGTAACACAGGTGTCTCCGTACTGGTTGCAAACGAATATCCTGTCGCTTGCTTGATCCACGAAGTAAAAGTTTCCTGTGAGCCAGTCAAAGGCTAAATGATCAACGTCTGAAACAAAGGAAAACATGGTAAATTTACACAAAACAAGATGATATATTGATGTGACACATCATTAATTGGCATATGTTCATGCACACAACATTGATAATTCTTGCCATGAAGTGTTAATCAATCAATCATATTCATGAAGACCTTATTCATGAAAATAATTTCCTAACCTACATATTACAATTGTTACTTTTCTTTTTTTTAATTAATATTTCATTGTTAAATGTTGTTAGTGCCACTTTATATGATGTATTATAAAGAATATTCATCCATTTTAATTGTATTTTAGATGGAATATAAAAAATACGTAATTAAATGCATCAACAAGCATGATAAACACACTAGAAGAAATAAGTCAAACAAACAGTGCACTTTTTAAACTAAAAATAAAAAAGCCTACCATTGAACAAAAACAGTGCCCCATAAACTAAGTAATATTAGTACAATTTATTTACTTTTTCAAGATCATAAACTTGGGGTCCATTAGAGGCTCTTAATGCACTGTGCCAGACTTGAAATATGCTTTAACTGAAATGCTTTGCTTTAAGTCAAAGAAAATTTCGGTTTAGAGGCTATTGTTTGGATCAATATCCTGAAATGAGAGTATGTTCTTATTCTCTGATTCAACGCTGAAAACTAATAGGCTAATTATTAAAAGAGTAATAAATCATTTTCGATTTGAGATCTTTTAATGAATACTTAATGGATAGATACTGTAGGATGAACTATATGTGCATAAACCATTTAATGTAGCGGTAAATAAATTATAAGCTCTGTTAGCTTCCATACAGCTTGCATTGATAAGCACTACGCAGTCAAGCAGAACTCAGTGTTACACTAAATGTTTTGTTCAGCATGAGAAATAAGGTCTCATGAGTAAAGGATAAAAACGTTTAACTTCAACTTTAAGCCAGATTTGTTTTACCTTGCATTAGTACTTTACATGAAACTCATTTTTAATACTAGGAAGTTAAGAATGGGAATGATCAGATGTTTATTAAATTCAAACAACAACAATTTTAATTACTAAATTTTTTTAGACATATTTCTCCAAACTAAGTTTAACACTGTCAACACATTTCTTTATTTTTGAGGTAATTTAGAGAATTCTGGAAAATGATGTTTTTCCAACATGGTTCTTAAAAGGTGAATGTACAACTTAAATCCAAATTTCTATAGGTAGCATTTAAAAAAATAAAACATCTATATTTACTTGAAATATCACATATGTTGTGTATATTTTAACTAAAATATGTATGAGTGAAAAGAAATGAAAAAAAAAAAAACATTTAAAAACTACATGATTTTATTACATTTAAATTCCATGGAATTCAAATTCTGCATCCTGTTTGAACTGAATTGGAATTTCTAAGACAGATTCAACTCAGAATTGTGCACAACCGTAAATTTAGTCATCTCACTTTGTCTCATCACCCATCAAAATCAATTCATCAGTTTTCTTTCAAAGTATTGTATTTTCAATGTAGCAGGAGAGTTTAACAGGAATCATACCGTGGAGATTCTGGACTGTCTTTACTTCCTGTTCTTTAGTGAAACCACTTGCTTTCCTCATCCTGGCACACCGGAGTTGTCCAGAGGACTCTGAGGAAGTGACCCAGCATACTGATTCCTCTTTATGGTTGAAATCCAAGCCATGAGTTCCATTTGAGTCCAGTTGTTTGAGGGTTTGCAGGCGGGATCCATTTAGGGCTGTGATTATAATATTATCCGAGCCTCCAATCAGCAGTGCTGCAGGGTTTTCACCGGTCTCTGGAATAGATGGATAGGAAAATAGTGACAAGACAGCTTGAGGCCAGGCATTTCCTTGGCATTCCATGCTTTCAGTAGAATAGGATAATACAGGCTTCCGCAGAGGGCACAGGTAATTCAGAAGCATGTCTCTTAGGAGAGAAACCCATTTTCAGAACACAGCAGTCAGCTGGAAATTTCTCTTCTTATTCAGTTTTGCAATGTATTTCAAAAGTGAAAGTGGGTATTATATTCACATTGTATAATACACTTTGTGTGTATATATGCGTATATGTGTGTGAATGTCTCATCCTGTGAATACTTTTATTTTCAGGTTTGTATATACAGTATGTACGTAAAATAGACCAACAAAGATCTTTCCTTTAAATTCTTTTGTAGTGTATTTATTTTTAAGAGTCTTATTAAACATTCACCTTTCTAATGGCTATGTCATCCTCCGCTGGCCCCCGTCAGACGGCCGGGAAAAGATGATGCATTGAATTTATATGCATGAGCTTTTACATCTAATGGAAACCCCATAGTTATCCCAGTGCAACAACCTCTTTCTGCTAAATTAATATTAATGTGGGTGAGCACTGAGTTCAGTTAAGTTTATGGGTAATGATATTCAGTTTATTCCTCATAGGAAAGCAGTCACATTGATTAAACGTGGGACAGATTCTGCATTCCAGCAGCAAGGTGCGCCGCTGCCTGCTAGCTATTTCCCACCGAGAGCACAGTGGCGTAATCTCCATTTAATTTAAAACACATATGCAAACCGGTTGCAGTGCACCACACCAATAGAAATACTAGGACGCATCATCTTTTTAGGTCACAAAATGCTTTGCACAAGGCATCTTTTGAGACCGTCACACCAAGCACACACTGTAACAGACGTTTGTGAATTGTGAAGTTTGTGAATTGTGTGTACTCAATATAATACATTTAAGCAGGGACAGTTTGTAATGCCAAAATTCATAGGACTGCAAATGACATTATAGGACCTAAAAAACCTGGAAAATTTCAAATTGCTTGCTGTGTATAATTTCCTAGATAGTCCCAGTCAGTTCTAACAACATTTAGCTGATATTTTCCACAACGTTTATGATTAAAAATGTATGTAAATCTTTTTAAAATATGAATCATATGTTTGAACACAAATATGATGCTTAAATTGATCCTCTGCAGTGTCAGAATGAGAGTTCACTGGAGAACGCAATATCATGGATAGAAGACTCGTATTTTAGCCAAATCTTAAGATCTTAATGAAGGATTTGTTTATTACAAAGAGGCAGATTTTTACTTCACAAGCTCTTAATTAATGGATTACTTGTGGATTCACCGCAGAGGATCCATTGGTGAGCAAGTGATATAATTCTAAATTTCTCCAGACTGCCATGATGAAAATACAAACTCAGCTACATCTTAAATGGCCTGAGGGTGAGTAAAATGTCAGCAAATTTTCATTTTGGGTGAATTATTCCTTGAATGGTGCTGTAAACTGTAATTAAGATGTAATTTCAGATGTTTTTTTAATGTCCACCATTTTGCTAAGACACAGCAGCCAATCCAACACCAGCAAACCTGAGCAAAAGTGTTCACAGGCAGCAAAAAAGCAATGCTTTATAGACAATCCACTCTTGATCCACTCATATACGTGCTCACTATGTTTGCTCTAATCTATATAGTTTCCCACTGCTAACACTGTAAGCCATCAACTATATGCAGCACATTTTCTCCTTATTTTATAATAATTCTCACAGCTGTAGAAAAGCTAGTTATTGAACATTTGGGACTCAATAGCGCTTTTTTATTAAAACGACTTCAACTACCTGAGCCCAAACAAATTACCAATCTACAAAAGGGATTAGAATCCATTTAGAATTGTAGTGAGTGTTTTCCCTACAAAACCCCCTTATTACAAAAGCAGCCGATTTAATGATAAACTTGATTGGATTTGTGGCTGGTGGGGAGACACTCTCACAGACAGGTGCCATTAGGCAAGTAATCATTGGCATGGGCTGATAAAGACAGAGAATAGCTGTCCTTCAGGCCCTGCTCTTCATAAAACTCAGTCTCCACTTAATCCTCAATGTCTGGCTTATCTTCCACCAATAGCTCCATTATTTCTGTCCCTGGGCACAGCAACACTGATATAAGGACTGTAGCAGAATATCCAAAGCAAACTGCCTCATTTTTCAGGTCCTTATGGGAATGAGAGGCTGAACTGGTTTAGTCTGGATTCATACGTGATCCCTGAAAGCT